GATTCCGCTTAAAAACCTCCAAGGAAGGAGAATTCACCACCTCCCGAGGGAGTCCGTTCCCCTGTCAAACAGCTCTTAACTGCCAGAAATTTCTTCCTGATGTTGAGTCGGAATCTCCTTTCCTTGTCACTTGAAGCCCTGGGTTCGAGTCCTGCCCTCCAGAGCAGGGAAAAAAACACCCAAGCTTGCTCCATCTTCCATGTGACAGCCCCTGAGAAGATGACTATCATATCTCCTCTTTTCCAGGATAAACACCCCAACTCCCTCAACCGGACCTTATAAGGCTTGTTTTCCCAGACCCTCGATCGTCTCGGTCGCTTTCCTCTGCACACGTTCCAGCTTGTCAATATCCTTGTTAAAATTGTGGCGCCCAGAATCAGACACAGTTTTCCAGGCAGGGGCCTGACCAACGCAGAATAGAGGGGTAGTCGATGGCCGTAGCCAATGGAGGCCCCCCTCCCATTGGTGACCCCTGCCCTAAATTGTGCCCCTTCTCTGCTCCCTGGGAACTGAGCACGGGGTTGAGGAATTACATTATTATTATTATTATTATTATTATTATTATTATTATTATTAATTACCCCACCCTCCACACCAAGACCAGGCTCAGGGCGGCTAACACCAAATATAAAACAATTGATGGAAATACAACTTAAAAACAAGATTAACATACAACATTAAAATGCAGCCTCATTTCAGCAGAAACTCAAAAACATTTTGGCGGACGAAAACGTCTTCACCAAGGCTAACTATCCAGACTGGTCCTACGTGGGCCAGAAAAAAGCCAGGGAAGTCGCCAAGTAGGAACTATCTTACATCACGTCTCACTATTTGACCATCCAACCCAGTGCCATCTCCTCTGACAGAGGCCACATCCATGCCAATCCCTCCAAGCTCATTTCATAGACTCAGAGAACTGTGTGGTTCGAAGGGCTCCCCATCTAGTCCAACCCTGCAGGAGTGTCGGCTAAAGAATCCCCGACAGATCACTACCTAACCCAGGGGTCTGCAACCCGCGGCTCCGGAGCCACATGTGGCTCTTTTACACCTTTGCCGCGGCTCCGGGGCAGATACTAGCGAGGGGAGGAGGCGCATTGTGTGCCACAACACTCCCCACTGTTTCAAATGTCGCAATGCTTTTGCGGCTCCCAGTTTTTTTTCTTCGGTCCAAGTGGCTCTTTTTGTCTTAAAGGTTGCAGACCCCTGACCTAACCTCTGCTTTTAAGAAAAAGCACATGGTTTTCCCCAAAGGATTCTTTGGAACTGCTGTTGGTTCCAGGCGCTGGGACTCGTAGCTTTGCGACAGGTAAACTACAGTTCCCAGGATTCCTCGGCGGGGGAGCTATGTGATTTAAAGGTATGGTGCAGTCGTTGGCCCATAGCTTGGTCAATAGAACATGAGACTCTAAAGTCGTGGGTTCGAGCCCCACGTCAGGCAAAAATTTCCTGCCTTGCGGGGGTTGGACTAAATGATCCCTCCCAATTCTTTGATTCTATGTGACCTGGGTTTCCAACCAAGAGCTACCTTGAAAGCCCTAAACGGCCTCGGCCCAGTATACCCGAAGGAGCATCTCCACTCCCATCGTTCAGCCCGGATACTGAGGTCCAGCGCAGAGAGCCTTCTGGCGGTTCCCTCACCTGCGAAAAGCGAGGTTACAGGGAACCAGGCAGAGGGCCTTCTCAGTGGTGGTGCCCACCCTGTGGAACGCCCTCCCACCAGATGTCAAGGAAATAAGCAACTATCTGACTTTTAGAAGACATCTGAAGGCAGCCATGTTTAGGGAAGTTTGAATGTTTGATGTTTTATCGTGTTTTTAATACAGTGGTACCTCGGGTTACATACACTTCAGGTTACAGACTCTGCTGACCCAGAAATAGTACCTCAGGTTAAGAACTTTGCTTCAGGATGAGAACAGAAATCAGGCGGCGGCAGCAACAGTAGCAGTGGGAGGCCCCATTAGCTAGAGTGGTGCTTCAGGTTAAGAACATTTTCAGGTTAAGAACGGACCTCTGGAACAAATTAAGTACGTAACCAGAGGTACCACTGTATTCTGTTGGGAGCTGCCCAGAGTGGGGAAACCCAGCCAGATGGGTGGGGTATAAATAAATTATTATTATTATTATTATTATTATTATTATTATTATTTCTGCAGTTGTACCTTTAGATGCCAGGGATGAACCCAGGACTTCTGCATGCAGAGCAGTTGCTTGACCTCTGCAAACCACCTCTTACCTCTTTTCAAAAATGTGCCTCTCCTAAAACGCCACGTCTGCCCTCTCTGAGGGCAGGGGGCCGTATTGTGATTCTGGGTGGGCCGTTCGAAGGAGCACGTTCCCCTCCCAGCAGATGCTTTGGAATGAAGAAGGCCCCAAACCCAAGAAATTACAGAGGCGGCCGGCCTTGCAAGCTAATCAGAGGGTGGGATGTTTTCTGTTTTTTAATCTCGGGCAAGGAGGAACAGAACGGCGGTGTTGGGGTGGGGGGAGACGAGTGCTTAATTATGGGAACGGCTGGGCCGGAAGCCAAGAAAACAGGCTGCCTGCCAGCCCAACCCCGCTACCAAACCCTGCGCTCCCGAGCGAAGTTTAGCAACGCGTCCCGGGACGCTGAGAGCCACATTCCTCGCCCACTTGAGCAGATAAGGAGCACAGACCAGTTCGCCCACTAAACGGGGAACGTCCTCTGGGAGCGAAAGCTCTTGGCTGCAGAGCCCCAGTGCAACTGTGCAGGCAGAAATCCAAGAGGGCAGGCTGAGAACCAAGCTTCACCCGGTGAATTTCTGCCTGCAGCTTCGGCCGACAACTACGTGGCAGGAGGGAACACTGCAGCCGTGGCCTCAGTGAAATTTGTGGGATGCTGAGAAGCATCTCAACTCTGTCATGGTTACTTTCTGACCAAGAAATGTTTGGTGTGGGTGGGAATGGGCAGGAGAGGGAAAGGAACTTTGCACATGCTCAGAAGCAACCTCGCTTCACTTTGGGCAGCTGAGCAAAGCCCCGCTGAGCGTTTTGGCTCATCTCTGAACCTTGGGAAGGATTGCAGCAAAACAGAACGGTAGAGGGTCATTGAGCTTGACCCCCTCCCTGCCCTGCAAGAAGATGATGAAGAAGAAGAGTTTGGATTTGATATCCCGCTTTATCACTACCCGAAGGAGTCTCAAAGCGGCTCACATTCTCCTTTCCCTTCCTCCCCCACAACAAACGCTCTGTGAGGTGAGTGGGGCTGAGAGACTTCGGAGAAGTGTGACTGGCCCAAGGTCACCCAGCAGCTGCACGTGGAGGAGCGGGGAATCGAACCCGGTTCCCCAGATTACAAATCTACCGCTCTTAACCACTACACCACACTTTAGAATCACAGGAACCTGGGCTGTGTGAAGTCGTCGTTGATCTCTGTCTCGAGAGGCAATGGAGTGCACCTCCAAGGGTGGAGTCAAACCATTGGAGAATCATAGCGCCTGCTGCAGCTGCAGAGACCCAGAACTCAGAGCTGCTGCCTCCTACGTTGTTTTTGCTGAGGTAGCAGCACCAAAGTGACCCCCTCGCGGTGCAAGCCTGGGACCCCACTCTGGAGACCCCACTCCTGAGTCTTTTGAGGCTATTTGTGTTAGGCATAAAACATATACATCGTGATTTGCACCAGGGGAAACTTACATTCTCTGCTCGGAATATTATTTGCGCAAAGAGGGGTATAAGCTCCTGTAAAAAAATACGCACCAGGGCAGATTAAGGGTACCAGATTTTTTTCAATGAATCTGGGGACACTTTTCAACTTCAATTGATTTTGTATGGGGACTGATTTGTGAATCTGGGGACTGACCCCGGGAAACGGGGACGCCTGGCAACCTTATGCTAGATCAGCCCCTCTATACTTTCAGACACATGCCTCTGGGAAGCCCATCATCGGGGAACGAAAACAACAGCCCTCTCACCCGTCCTCACTTCCTAAGAAGAAGGAGGTCCATTTAGATACCTCCCTTGTGCATTTTCGAACTTCCCTAAGCTAGGCATCAACCCTATACAGTGGTCCCTTGGTACTCAGACAACTTGGAACCCAAACACTGCAAACCGGGAAGTAAGTGCTCCGGTTTGCGAACTTTTTTCCATCTTGCAGCCTGCCCTGCTGCCTTCGGGCTGAAGGGGCCGGTGACAAATCAATGAATGACAATCATCATGACCATAATAATACAGTGGTCCCTTGGTTCTCAAACGCCTTGGTACTCAAACAACTTGGAACCCAAACACTGCAAACCCGGAAGTAAGTGTTTGCGAACATTTTTCGGAAGCTGAACGTGCTCCATTTTGAGTGCCAAGCTTCCGTTTGGAGTGTTACTGAGGTCTGTCTGTTCTGGCTATTTATTTTGCGTTTTTGTGGCTTTTTTGTTTTGCTCTTGTGTCTGTGCGCAACCCAGTTCAGCTACTGATGGATTGGTTGTGTGACTGCAGCACATTGTTCATTGCTTTCATTTTATGGATCAATGGTCTCGTTAGATAGTAAAATTCATGTTAAATTGCTGTTTTAGGGGTTGCTTTTAAAAGTCTGGGACAGATGAATACGTTTTGCACTACTTGCTGTGGGAAAGCACGCTTTGGTTTTGGAACGCTTTGGTTTTGGAACGGACCATAGCTGTCAACTTTTCCCTTTTTTAAAGGGAAATTCCCTTATTCCGAATAGGATTCCTCGCAAGAAAAGGGAAAAGTTGACAGCTATGGAACGGACTTCCAGAACAGATTAAGTTTGAGAACCAAGGTACCACTGTACAATGTGGCAATGGATTCCGCAACTGGGAGAAAAAGCAGAGTTACTTGAACAACACTGAGGTGTGCTGAAGAACATCGGGCGGCTATTTCTGGCCCGCTTCTGTCTCGCCTAGTTCCTCCAAACTCAGCAGCTCCGTCACGAGGGCTAGAAGCTCTGCTTAAAAGCAGCGAAGGCCCCTGCCCCACTCCTCCCCCCCCCGCGACCGACGGCTAGATATCCCGCCATCTCTTGGCACGCTCACCGATAAGGAACTCGAGGCAGATGCGGTGCTCCTCGGGGTCGTACGGCTGGCGGAACTGGAGCTTCATGTCGAAGGGCTGGCCGCGGCGGAGGATGAGATTCTCGTACTCGAACTCATTCGTGTGGTGGGCCCGGCGGTTGCTACTGGATCGGCCGCTCATCAGGTCCACGCCGCTGACCACCAGCATGCCCTCTGCTCAAGGGAGGAAGGAAAAGATGTCAAAGAGAACAACAACTGCCAGACTTTTAGAAGACATCTGAAGGCAGCCCTGTCTAGGTAAAGGGACCCCTGACTATTAGGTCCAGTCGTGGCCGACTCTGGGGTTGCGGTGCTCATCTTGCTTTATTGGCCGAGGGAGCCGGCGTACAGCTTCCGGGTCATGTGGTCAGCATGACTAAGCCGCTTCTGGCGAACCAGAGCAGCGCACGGAAACGCCGTTTACCTTCCCGCCGGAGCGGTACCTATTTATCTACTTGCACTTTGACGTGCTTTTGAACGGCTAGGTGGGCAGGAGCAGGGACAGAGCAACGGGAGCTCACCCCATCGCGGGGATTTGAACCGCCTACCTTCCAATCAGCAAGCCCTAGGTTTAGACCACAGCACCACCCGCTTTTTAAGACACTTGTAAGGTAAAGGTAAAAGGACCCCTGACCATAAGGTCCAGTCGTGACCAACTCTGGGGTTGCGGCGCTCATCTCGCTTTATTGGCCGAGGGAGCCGGCGTACAGCTTCCGGGTCATGTGGCCAGCATGACTAAGCTGCTTCTGGCAAACCAAGGAAGTGCATGGAAACGCCGTTTACCTTCCCACCGGAGCGGTACCTATTTATCTACTTGCACTTTGACATGCTTTCGAACTGCTAGGTTGGCAGGAGCAGGGACCAAGCAACGGGAGCTCACCCCGTCACGGGGATTCATAACCGCTGACCTTCTGATTGGCAAGTCCTAGGCTCTGTGGTTTAACCTAGGGAAGCTATTAATGTTTGATGCATTACTGTATTTTAATATTTTGTTGGAAGCCGCCCAGAGTGGCTGGGGAAGCCCAGCCAGATGGGCGGGGTATAAATAATAAATTGTTATTGTTATTGTTATTAGAATCCCAGCAGTGTATGGTTGGAAGGGACCCTTAAGGCTCATTTAGTCCAACCTCCTGCAATGCAGAAATCTCCGCCTAAAAAATCCCTGACATTCAGGGCCAGATTTAGGTTTGATGAGGCCCTAAGCTACGGAAGGTAATGGGGCCCTTTATATGTCCAGCTGTGCTTTGTCAACAACAAATTGTCGCTGTTTTTTGGGTTGAATATATGCTATATGGAAATTGATGGACCTCATAGGTATCTCAAGCCATTTGCCCATGTTCCCCTGCAACCAGTCCATGCAGAATGGAGGCACCCTATACATAGAAAGGAGCAAACCAGTGATATTTTAGGGAGCAGGCGAGCAGGCGGGGCCCATGACTTACATCATAGGAGCCTACACAACACAAAACACTGTTGCTGTAGGTAGGTTTTATTTCAGGCATAGGCAAACTCGGCCCTGCAGATATTTTGGGACTACAACTCCTATCATCCCTAGCTAACAGGACCTGTGGTCAGGGAAGATGGGAATTGTAGTCCCAAAACATCTGGAGGGCCGAGTTTGCCTATGCCTGTTTTATTTTATTTGTTTTATATCTTATATTTTGGAAATGTACATCCAGGGTTTTTTTCCTTTTTAATTTTTTTTGGCCCCCCCCCAAGAGAGTGGGGCCCTAAGCTATAGCTTGTTTAGCTTATACATAAATCCGGCACTGCTAACATTAACCAAGAGAATACGTGCATCAAATAATACAAATGATGTGGGCGATTTTGTTGAAACACAGCAGCCTTTTGTGAAACACTTTACTGGCAATGCTAAAGAATGGCAGCTACCGAAATCACAGATTGGACTTGGGCAAACTTAACTAGATGAATGGTTACAATTGTTAGTAGGATATCACTTGTAGTTTAAAGTTGAATTCTGGACATAACGGAAGAGGTAAAGGGTTCGGATGATCATAAAAGATGTGGGAGGAAATGATTAATAATAGGACCCACAAAGGGGAGGATGGAAGGAGATTTCTTGGAATCTTGTGTTTATGATTTACGTTTGATATATCTCTGTAAAATTTTAAGTTGAAAAACCAAATAAATAAAAATTTAAAAATAACAATAACAGATTGATCCGTCCTGGAGTGGAGAGAGTTGGGGTTTTGTTTCTGTACCTTTCTCTCTCTTTTGTAATTTATATATTGGAAATCAAAAAGACTACATTTATTAAGAAGACAGAATCCCTGACAGATGGCCACCCCACCTCTGCCAGTGAAATTGAGTCAGCTGGAAGGAACTGAAGTTCCAGCTTCTCAATATCTTTCTTAAATTGTGGCGCCCAGAACCGGACACAATATTCCAGGTGGGGTCCGGCCAGGGCAGAACAGAACAGGTCTATGACTTCCCTGATCTGGTGCAGCATAGAATTGTGTTAGCTTTTTCTGCTGCCGCATCACACCGTTGACTGATGTCAACATCTCGCCTGGCAAGACTCCTCCGTTGGAAACAGGGAGGCCCTGAAAACATATGGAAGGAGTACAGCAGAAACCTATCGAAGGGTACAGAATTTATTCCGATGCATTGCGTACAACTCTGCCGAAGGATCGCCAGCGGATTTCTCCATTTGGGGAAGAGAGAGCCACCCAGATGTTCTGGGCTGCAACTCCCATGATGGCACTGTCCAGATGTTCTGGGCTGCAACTCCCATGAAGGTGCCGTCCAGATGTTCTGGGCGACAACTCCCATGATGGCGCCGTCCAGATGTTCTGTGCTGCACCTCCCATGATGGCGCCGTCCAGATGTTCTGGGCTATAACTCCCATCATGGGAGCTGTAGTCCAATACACCTGGATGGCACTGGGCTGGTGAAGGCTGATTTAGTCAGATGAACTTCTATTTTTGTAAGCACGTGTGTTTTAAAGCCTCTCTCTCAAAGCTGAATTTCAAAATCAACACCTTCCTACAAATTCCGGTTTCAAAACTTCGAGAGAAGCCCAAAATCTGTGCAGCTGCACCAGAGTGCAGAAGGGGAGGGGAGAGACTTCATCAGGCAAGGCCTTTTCCCACCTGCCTTGCCCCACCCTCCAGTCCCTGCTTCTCAATTTGGATTGTATTATTTTATGCTCTGTGGCTTGCCGTTGTCTTATTGATGATTGTAGTTTAGAAATTATTTGTTGTAACTGTTAAGAGTGGATTTCGGTTTAATTTTTATATGCTAATATTATTATTCTATGCTATTCTAATGATTGTTGAACGCTAATTTATTTGATGTAGGTTGCTTATTTTAAAGTTACATTTCATTATCACATTTTTGTCTTGAGTTAGATTGTTATAAGGTGGACATTCTTTGTTTCTTCAGCTTGTAGTATTCTTCAGCTTTGGGTATTGTAAGATAGAAAGACTGTATACAAATTAAAAGGGATGATGACGACGACGACGACGAGGTAGCTGGATTTAAACACGTCTGCACACTCGGATATTAATAGGCAAGATGTTAAATTGGTTTTATATGCAACAACAGCGGCAAGAGTATTGTTAGCCCAGAAATGGAAGCAAGAAGAAATCCCAAAGAAAGAAGAATGGCAGACAAAATTAATAGACTATGCAGAATTAGATAAAATGAAAGGAAGGATTCGAAACCTGCGGGACCAGAGATTCACAGAAGACTGGAAGAAATATACGAACTATTTGAAGAGCAACTGTAATCATCAAATTAAGCTAGTAGGACTACCAGAAGTTTTGTAAGGAAAAATATATGAAACCTTGCAAAGCACAGAAAGGATAGAGATATTAGTTATGAGGTTTAAATGTAATAGTGGAAGTAAGAAATGTAATTGGAAGACTGGAGAAATACCAACTAAAAAACAATGGCAAGAGAAGTTGATGAACTATGCAGAACTGGCAAAAATGACAGAAAGACTAAGAGAAAAAGACAACAGAGACTTTGAAAAAGATTGGGAACCATTCACATTATATTTGCAGAAACAAAGAAAGGCAATAGACTTGATGGCAGGATTTAAATAAACATCCACATTATTAGCACCAGAAAATGTTTGGAAGATAGTGAAATAAGATGATGTATTTAATTTTAATTTTATGTTTTTAAGGTTTGATGTTATGTTATTCATAACTTTCTCTCTGAATGATAGCAAAGCGGGTGAAAATAGAAACAAACCAGAAATGTAAGTTTGGGGAAGTTTTGGAGGGGAGGGAGGAATATATAGTAAATGTTAAGAATTTGAGATGTATGTAAGGAATGAAAATGAAAAATGAATAAAAATCTTGTAAAAAAAAGAAAATAAAAGTATATTAAGTGAATAGATTGGGAAATTTTCAGATGTGATTGATGGAAGTAAAAAAAAATGGTATAAGATATGAAAGTATGTTGAATTACTGTTGAAAATGTTATGTTGAAAAATTAAGAAAAATTAATATTAAAAAAAATAAACATGTCTGCACACTCCGTACATCCTTCTGATTTCGCCCCGGCTCTCTCGCCTGGCAAGTGTCTCGCACACCCTCGCCCAAGCATCTCACCTCGGATAACGGGCTCTCGCCGTGCTCCTGGGACCTCCCCGGCGAGGGACCCCAGTCGTCATCCCCCTGGCCTGAGCAGCAGGCGCAGCATTTGTGGAACCAATTCCTCTTCTCCTCCTAGGCCCAGTCTCCGGCTGGTTGGGCTGCCGCACGCGGTAACTGACATTGGTCCATCGACCGCGTCCCTCGAGTGTCTGCCACCGGCATCTTGTCTGCAGAGAAGGAAGAGAAGAAACAGTGAATGAACGCCTTTTCCGGGCACTAGGGGCACTGTAGCTCCGGGGGGCAGAATTTCCTGAAGTGAGGGGATTAAGAATTACCTAAAACTGTGGAAACCATAGCTACCTGCGCGGGAGCACGATTTCTGTTCTCATCCTGAAGCAAAGTTCTTAACCCGAGGCACTATTTCTGGGTTAGCGGAGTCTGTAACCTGAAGTGTATGTAACCTGAAGCGTATGTAACCCGAGGTACCACTGTACAGTGGTAGGATGCGGGTGGCGCTGTAGGTTAAACCACAGAGCCTAGGGCTTGCCGATCAGAAGGTCGGCGGTTCGAATCCCCGCGACGGGGTGAGCTCCCGTTGCTCGGGTCCCTGCTCCTGCCAACCTAGCAGTTCGAAAGCACACCAGTGCAAGCAGATAAATGGGTACCACTCCGGCAGGAAGGTAAACGGCGTTTCCGTGCTCTGCTCTGGTTCGCCAGAAGCAGCTTAGTCATGCAGGCCACATGACCCGAAAGCTGTACGCCGGCTCCCTCAGCCAGTAAAGCGAGATGAGCGCCGCAACCCCAGAGTCGGCCATGACTGGACCTAACGGTCAGGGGTCCCTTTACCTTTTTTACTACAGTGGTACCTCGGGTTAAGTACAGTGGTACCTCAGGTTACATATGCTTCAGGTTACATATGCATCAGGTTACAGACTCCGCTAACCCAGAAATAGTGCTTCAGGTTAAGAACTTTGCTTCAGGATGAGAACAGAAAACCTGAAGCGTCTGTAACCCGAGGTACCACTGTAATGATAATTTATTATTTACACCCCGTCCACCTGGCTGGGTTTCCCCAGACACTCTGTGTGGCTTCCAACAAAAGATTAAAAACATGATAAAACATCAATCGTTAAAAACTTCCCTAAACAGGTCTTGCCTTCAGATGTCTTCTAAAACACAGATAGTTGATTACCGGTATTTCTTTGACATCTGATAGAAGGGCATTCCACAGGGCGGGTGCCACCACCGAGAAGGTCCTCTGCCTGGTTCCCTGTAACCTCGCTTCTTGCAGGGAGGGAACCGCCAGAAGGCCCTCGGAGCTGGACCTCAGGCTGAACGAAGGGAGTGGAGATGCTCCTTCAGGTATACCGGGCCTTTGAGGTCGTTTAGGGTTTTCAAGGTCAGCACCAACACTTTGAATTGTGCTCGGAAACATACAGTGATACCTTGGGTAACATACGCTTCAGGTTACAGACTCCGCTAACCCAGAAATAGTGCTTCAGGTTAAGAACTTTGCTTCAGGATGAGAACAGAAATCGGGCTCCGGCAGCACGGCAGCAGCGGGAGGCCCCATTAGCTAAAGTGGTGCTTCAGGTTAAGAACAGTTCCAGGTTAAGTACGGACCTCCGGAACGAATTAAGTACTTAACCTGAAGTACCACTGTACTTAATTTGTTCCGGAGGTCCGTTCTTAACCTGAAACTGTTCTTAACCTGAAGCACCACTTTAGCTAATGGGGCCTCCCGCTGCCGCCGTGCGATTTCTGTTCTCATCCTGAAGCAAAGTTCCTAACCAAAGGTACTATTTCTGGGTTAGCGGAGTCTGTAACCTGAAGCGTCTGTAACCCGAGGTACCACTGTACTCAACTGTTTTATTCACTCCACTCCGGACACAGCTGCATTTTAGCAGTAGAAAACCCTATTTCTCCTCAGCTGGGAGGCTGGCAACTGTGTGGTTAGCATGCAATGGGCATTCTGGAGAGTCATCACATCCGTAACTGACTACTAGGCCCCAGGATAGAGGCTGGCACAGTACCTGGAACAATAACCCCATATCTCCTTCAGTGATGGTGGGTGTTCCTTGCTATCCGATAGCACCTTGGCCGAGGCAGGACTTATTCTACAGAACCGCCATGTCAGCGGGGGGGACGGACCCACAGCTCCCCCCCCGATTTTCCCTTCCAAAACTAGAATTAAATGCCAGAGCTCGCGATCCTAGTTCTCTTGGCAATTCTTTTTTGATTGATTTTCAATTTTTTTAAACAAATTGGTCACTAATGAAAACAAATTAAATCGAAACAAATTTAACATATTTCCAAATCGGAACAAATTTAACATTTCCCCCCCCAAATCTGACTTCCCGCACGCCCTCCTAGATGGTTCCCCATCATATTCCCCAATTAATTCTAGTTTATCTTCAAACCTTACAGAACATCGCAATATCCATCCATCAATTCCTGCACGCATATTGAATTAACTTTTCCCGTTTCGACACGCGAGGTCCCTTATCAGATGGTCAACCAAATCGTTAATTAATATTAATTAACAGAGAATAAAACTTCCTCCCATCTGCTTCTGCAGAAGAAACATAGCTGTCTTTTTGCAGTTTTGGAATCAGAGTTCCCCTTTGCTCCACCTGCAAAGACTCCCTCCCAGCTTAGACAACTCAGAAGTCCTGGCTTTCAAACTTCTAAGGTTCAGCCGGGGGGGGGGGGGAATCGGCTCTCATACCTTGGATGGAAGGCATGGAATTCCAGAATTCAACAGGGGGTGTTTCCCCCAAATTGCCACACCGCCTGTTGAATGTGGGACTGCCACGCCTCTGTCAAGAGCACAGGCACCGTGCCAGAAACAAAAGGTGGCAACCACCCCAGGCTGCCACCAGCCGAAACCACAAAGCCTCGCTTTCCTCCTGGCAGCCAGGGAAACGGATTGGTACACAAATAAATCGAGTGAGAGTATGACTCTACTCTAAAGCCTCTTCCATCATCAAGCCCGGCTTCTTTCTACATTCTTATCCAGGGCTGGGACACTGCTAAACACCAGCTCTGCCATTCATTTTCAAGCCACCTTTGTCACTTCCTGTGGGTGTTCTCCCCAGCCTCTGAAAACCTAGGATTATATGGCTAGAAGATGCTGCCCAGGTGAGAGTCATTTGAAGGGCCCATCCCTTCTTTAAAGCGATATTCCCCTCTGCGTTCCAATCTGCTCTCTTGGCATTATTTCACAGCTTTCCCTTGCACGGTGATTGATCTCCAATCCAGGTGGATTTAAAAAATCAAAGATTTTTATTATTATTTTTTAACAAATTGGATTTTTTATTTAAATTGTTTTTTTTTAAAATAAAATGCTTTTGGAGGAAAAATATTTATATTTTTTAAAATAATATATATATTTTTAATTTCCATTTTATAGTATTTAAATACAACCTTATTATTAACTTTATTTCTTGCTCTTATGAGCTAATCGACTTCCCTCCCTCCTGTCTCGTGGTTTTCATAATTTATTTCTATGCTATAGCTTTTGTGCCTCTTTCAATTTACATTTCACATACTCCAATGATCCCAAATTTTAAATAGATATAATAAAAGGTAATACTCATTAACATTACAAGTCTTGTTAATTCAACCCTGCTAGTGTAGTTCTATGTTTACAATTATCCTTCAAATATTGTACAAATTTACTCCAGTCTTTTGGAAAGCTTGATCACAAAGGGTTCAGATTTTCCCAGTCGGCTTCGCCAATTCTGCATATTCCATCATCCTCATCTGCCACTCTTCTAAAGATAGTTTTCTATTTAAGTTACATTATAGTCCAAAGGCTATTCATCAGGAAATAAGGATTTGTTTCAAGTTTTTCATGTTTGCTAAAACTTAAAGTTTCTTTTTTAAAAAATTGTTTAACCACATCAGTTAACAAACATGGATACATATGCTATAATGTTATTGTTTTAGTTAAATAAATTGTTCAAGCTGTTATTAAGGAAATGATTATTTTTCTCCTTCCAATAAGGTGCAGCAGAAAAGTTGTCAACTATAAACAGTTAACTTATCAAACCACACAATAATTTCATAACGATCGGTCTATGCATTCTAATAGTATAACCAAATCTGTAATTTTTGAGATAACTGTAAAAACTACTCTGAAAATGTATTATTCCAAAAAGGAAACTTTCCCCAGGTTGTAAATATTAAGGTGATACCAGCAAGAATGAGTCTTTCTGTAAAAATATATGATTTAAATCAAGTCTTACTGACTAGTGATTTAAATCGATTTGATTTAAATCAAATCTACCCTGTCTCCGACTGTCATCCTTGACCACTGACCACTGGCTGGTGGGAGTGAGGCCACACTCAGCCATACATTTAAAAGTGCCTCCCGAAACTACAATTCCCAGAGGGGATGACCAATCAACCCCTCTTCACGGGAGATGGCAAAACTGACGGCACTGAAAGAATATACAAATTTGAAATCTTTCAAAGAAGACTGGGAACCTTTCCTAGTCTATATTAAAAGTTAATTCCCGTGCGTGAAGGCCACAACGGGGGTTTGAAGTGCAATAAAATAGCAGACGATATTAAGAAACATGCTGGAGAGGAGGAAATTAGAACCTTAAAATACAATCGTATGTAATTTGGGTTATGAAAATCGATGTTGGGTGAGTGGGAAGTGACTAGTTTGGTTGAATCGGAATATAATTGCTGAGTAACAAACGTATTCCATATGGCAAAAAAGAATAAAATATTATTATTTTAAAAATTCCTCTTCACAGGGAGCACTGGGAATTATAGTTTTGTGAAGGGGTCTCCTGACAATGCGCGGCACCCTTAACAAACGACAGCTCCCATAATTCTTTGAGAGAAGCCATGACTGTTTAAAGTGGTGTCATGGTGCTCTAAATGTGTGGCGTGTCTGTGACACTGGAGATCCACCGGTTCAAGCACAACGTTTGCCAACCTGGTGCCCTCCTGGTTTTTTTTTTGGGGGGGGTGTGCTGATGGGACTTGTAGTGCAAAGCAGTGGACTGGCAAAATTGGCGGCCCTCTAAACCATCTCTGGCCTCATTCTAATCTGCAAAAAACAACAGTTCCCGTCCGAGAGGACTCTGGAATCCAAGACCACGGTCTTCCCGTTCGATCTAAACCTGTTTTTTGGCAACCGGGCGCTTCCCCAGATGTTCTAAACTGCAACTCCCATCAGCTCCAGCCAGCAGGGATGCAGCTGCAAACA